TCCAAATGTGATCTCCGTCCTGAATTGCCGGATAAGGGCAGATTTACCACTCGACTTATAGTGTATTTTCCGGCTCTCCTACGCTTGCCTAATGAGATCTCACCTAATCCGTCTGGTGTGCATCCAGTGACTCGTGAGTGGATCATTCTACTCAATATCTTCTTTCGTAACAAAAATTTATAAGTCAAGCTCCAGAGCTATGTTTCCATTACGAAAACCTGTGATAACTGCGTGTGTACGTGTGTGTCGGAGAAGAGACTTCAATTCTAACGCACTCAGTTTGTCGGCGCTGCCTTTCATAAAGAAGGCGTAACATTGGGCGACATAGTTGCAGGCCAGTGCACTCTCGATGCTTTCGCAGACGTCCTCGAGGCGACGGCTTGAACACTCCTCTTGCGTCTTGCTACTCAGAGGGGGCTTGGCGACGTGCGAATCAGGTGCCTCCTCTTGATCCTGCGGAGTTCCGGCGGGAAGTAAAATGTTGGGCAGAAGACTGGCATGCGTTGGAAGCCAGACGACACTGGCACAGTAGAAGGTGCTGTTGCAGAGGCGGGATGTGGTCAGACTTGAGCACCAGTAGCTGGGGCCCTCGGAACATCGCGTTTCATTCAGATCGGGCATGATGGTCGAGGAGCAGAAGCCAAGTTTCTTGAAAATAAGAGGGCGCAATTGGGAGAATAGGCGAATTAATATAGAAAAAGAGGAGAGCAATCAACTCGACTGACCTTGTAGCTGATTTGGCCTGACTGAGTGAGTAAGCTTCCATAATCCACATTAGGAATGAGGAATATTATATACCCTTCTACAAAAAAGCGACCAGTCTTAAACATGGAAATAGGATAAGACTCTGGCCTAAGGCTGTAGCATGCATTCGCAGAACTAGACATTTTACAGTTCTCCATATCAAGGAAATGCAACAGTATCTTGTTGACGGCGAGTAGTCTGAATCTCTATCTCTTGAAATACGAGCCTGCTTGGCTATGGCCAACCGATATGTCGAGTCAGGTTGTCGCTTAAGAAGAACCCGACATTAGGCTGTGTTGTGAGATCAAAGTTTGGGGTCCGCTGTACCAAAGTTCGTCCAATGAATAGAAAAGCTCGAAGTTAAACTAGTCTCTATCCCCTTAAACCTGCCTTTCTAAATTTTTCATGTGTGCAAGACGCTCGATATTGAATACGAAAGGTGTACATAAATTGGTATTAATACTTCAAGGATAACTTATTAGCTCACCTGGCATATGTCTTTCGGAGGAAATCGTCTCACAATAAGCTTGATAAGAATATCAATAAATTCGTGTATGTAGGCCCGACACTGAAAAGAAGAAAGAATGAAAATGTAAAAGGGGCTACCGCCACAATTACCTATTTCGTAGAACAATGATGGACTGTGGAATGGGCCTCAAAGACTGCAGTGTTGAGAAGTCGCAGCCAGGTTAGCTGATAAGTGAACTCAGAACATCAAAATGCTTCAATGAGATGGCCTAAAAGAGAATTACAACAGGATCTTGTGCCCGCTAATCGGCTAGGCCAGAGGCCCAGCCTGCGAAGTTCTATCAATTAGATCTCAGGAACTCTGATCTATGGCGCATGCACGAAGCATTCTTACTTAGCCGAAACCCAGATCCGCTGTAGATAAAGCCCCTTAAACTCATCTAGGGAATAAGGGCA